TCTCCTCCACCTGGCCTCTAGTCCTCAGGATTTTGGGGTGAAGGAGGCCCTCTGGGCAGACAGGCAGCTGCCTACATCCCCAGCCCCCACTGATTCCCCATTTCTCCAATTTCCACCACCCTCCTCCATCACCCACACACACACATCAGGGTGGCACTCCCATTCCTTTGTTCCTCTTCCTGGCCCACCCTGTGTCCCCCAAGCCCCCTTCTCCAGGTTCTGGTCCTGAGATGATGGGTGAAGGTCAGTCCAGCTGTTCAGTCACTGCGCCAAGGGTCTAACCCAGCCTAGCCTAAGCAATATGCAGACTACTGTGTGATTTGGGAGTCTTGAACAGGAAGTCCAAACACTGGGTAGAAGGAGTGGAGTTGTCCTCTGGTCCATCCAGACAGCATTGTCCGTTCATCCAGTGGGAGCTCCGACACATCCCCTGGAGAGCCAAGGACCCCCAGCCCTAGCCCTGGTGTCCTCCCAGCCCAGGCAGCCCATGATTCCCTTTCAGCTCCCAGCTTTACTTTTGCCTCCTTTAATGTGCCTGGGGTATCTAGGAGCCAGGGCTGAATAGAAGGGACCTGGGGAGGGGCTGGTCAGCAGGAAGGGAGGATGTGGGAGAGGAGGCCATTCCTACCTGGGGTCCAACCTGAAGCAGGGCTTCCCTCCAACGGTTCCAGATGTTCCCTGGCTGTGTATATGTAACTTTCTCCTCTCCTCTCCCAGCCACCACTGGCTCTGGGAAGGAGATGGGGATTGAGAGAAATCAGAGGGCAGAAAACCCATGAGTTATTAGGGTTAGCATTCCCTTTTCAACTCACCCATGCCAGCATCTGTTGTTTTTTGACTTATCAGTGATAGCCATCCTTAATGGGGTAGGTGGTTTCTCTTTGCAGGTTTGATTTGCATTTCTCTGATTATTAGTGAAGCTGAGCATATGTACCACATTTTCTTTATCCTTGTTTTCTCGGCTATTATTAAATAGAAGAAAAAAAAAGATGTTGACAAGAGTGCAGAGAAAAGGGAACATTTGTACACTGTTGGTGGGGATGTAAGCTAGTTCAACCCCCTGAAAAGCAAACCAAGAGGAGACGGGTGTCCAACAGCCCCAGAGAAAGGCAAGAGATCTGGCTCACCATGGCCACTTGGCTATCCATTTGCTCTGGGGCGATCAGCATGAGTTGAGGAGGTTTCTCATCCTCTTCCTTGTCCTTGTGTTTCTCCTCCTCATCCTTATTTTCATCCTTGTGCTCGACCTCCTCCCCATCTCCCAATTTATAACCTGGTGGGCAGCCAGAGGGATCCTCAGAAAACCCAGCAAGGAAGGCAGACGGGCTACCTCTTCTCCCATGCACAGTATGTAACCCAGAGCTGGCCCCTCCCTCAAGAAGAGTGATCAGCTATTCCAAAGGACTCTTCTAAGCCCCCAGTCTCATGCTGATAAAAGTGCCCCGGTCTCACTCTCTGTCACCAGAAAGAACCATAAAGTTCATCTGGGCCTGTAGGTCCTGGTTCTGCTGGTCGGCAGCTTCCCGACATCCCTGTGGGTGGGAGAGGAGTGAGAAGGACCAAAGTGGCCACGTCCTCCCCCTCAGGCTGGCCCCAGCACCTCCCTCACCTGGGTCATAGCAACTCCTAGTGGGCCATCTCAGCCTCAGCCTTGCCTTGGACTTCCTCATGCTCTAGCTGGTCCATGAGCTGGACCTGCAGCAGCCACTGCTTGTGCACCACCTCCCTCTCATTGATCACCTTTTCACAGGTGGCCACCTGCTGCTTGCAGGCAACCCTGGACAGCTGCAGATGGGACAAATACTGGCCTCCTGGTTCTTGCAGGCTCTGAGCCTCCTGCTGCTTAAATTTCACTTGCAGGAAGACCCCAGGTGTGAGGTCAGGCAATGGTCTGCTTCCAGATCCCAAGCCCATAAATAGGGTGGCAGAGACCCTGTGTACCCATGTTCCTTGCTCCTGGCCTAAGTGACTGTGCCCTTGCCCAGAACCCCATGGCCCCATCACTCAACCTCTCACCCCATCACCTTATTTCCAACCACTTTAACGTTAGGTCACAGATGGATGGAACAGCAGAGGGAGTCAGTCAATATCTACCTGCTAGCTGCACACTAAATGCCCACTACTTTGCATGCATTACCTTATTTAACCTCAACACCTCTGTGAAGAGAATGCTTTTTTTTTTAAGTGGGGGTCTCACTCTGTTACCCAGAATGTAGTGCAGTGGTACACTCATGACTCACAGAAACCTTGACCTTCTTGTCTCAGCTGATCCTCCAGAGCCGGAACTACTGGCATGCGCTTCCATGCCAGGTTACTTTTTTGATGTATTGTAAGAAGTTGAGCTATGTAGCCCAGATGGTCCCAAACCTCTGATTTCAGGCAATGCTCTAGGCTTTGCCTCCCAAAGTGCTGGGATTATATTGTGAGCCACTATGCCTTGCCTTTTTGTTTGTTTTGTTTTGTTTTAATTTTGTTTTATTACAGAGATGTGGGGTACAAGTGAGGATTAACTTCATAAGTAGGCTGCATGCAGGTGAAGTTTGATCTTCTAGGTAGCCCTCACTACTTCGAGTACTGGACCAGGTACGCTTTGTGTTGTCATGTATCCCCCATCCTCCTCCCCCTAATGGTGTCCAGTGACCACCAGTATCTCTCTTGTGCTAATGTGACTAATGTTGAGGGCCCACCTGTGAGTGAGAACATGTGGTATTCAGTTATTTCTGTGATAGATCACTTAGTATGATGGTCTGCAGCTCCACCCAATTTACTACCCAAGTCTATGATTTTGTGTTTCTCCAAGGATAAATAATTATCCATCATGTATATATACCACATTCTTTTATCCAGTCCACTTTCAATGTTTCTTTTTATCTTCTATATACTGCAATTGTGATTTTTTCTTGGTAATCTGCTAAAGTTAGGATTTAGCCTCCTGTAGGTGTGATGTTAGGTGGTTTACTTGTAATCTTTCTATTATCTTGATGTATACATGCAATGCTATGAATTTCCTTCTTGACATTGCTTTCATGGCATCCCAGAGATTCTGACGTGTCTTTGTTTCATGTGTTTTCAGACATCTTTATATTTGTCTTGATATCTGTGTTGACTCAGAAGTCATTCAGCAGTATGATTTTATTGTTCATGTCTTTTTGTATTCTGAGGGGATCTTGGTGGCAATATTTATTTTTATTCCACTGTGATCTGAGAACGTGCATGGTATAATTTTGATCTTTTGAAATGTGTTCACTCTTAATTTATGTGCAAGAATGTGATCAGTCTTAGAGTGTGTTCCATGTGCTGAAGAGTAAAATGTATATTGTGTAGATGTTGGGTGAAGTGTTTTATGGATGTCTGTCACATCGATTGACTTGGTGTCAAGTTGAGGTTCTAGATCTCCTTGTTGGTTTTCTGCTTTGTAATCTATCTAAAGCTGTTAGGTTTCCAACTATGGTTGTGTGAGAGTCAATGTCCTTTCTTAGCCTACTTAGTATTTGTTTTATAAAACCTGGTATTGCTGCATAGAGTGCATATAGGTTTCGGAAGAATATATCTTGGTAACTGATTGAGCCATTTACCATTTTGTAGTGTCCTTCCATGTCCATTTTAACTTTGGATGGTTTGAAGACGGCTTTGTCTGATATCAGAATTGCTACACTTGCCCTCTTCTGTTTTCCATTTGCCTGAAAAATTATTTTCCAGTCACCAACTTTGAGACTGTAGGTGTTCTTTTCAGTGAGATGAGTTTCCTGATGGCAGTAGGCTGTTGGATTATGATTCTTCATTTAGTTTGCTGCTCAGTCTCATCAGTGGCGCATTTATGCTATTCACGCTCAATTTCATTATTGAAATGTGAGAGTCGTCCCCTGTCATAGGGCTCTTAAGGGGTTGCTTTGTTTCCTTTTAACTTTTGTAATACATGTGTGTGTGCATTTTCATGTTTGTGAGTGTTCTGTATTCTCTGCTAATTCTGTGCTTGCCTGTGCTTTTGTGGTGAGTATGATCAGTCTTTTGTGTGTGTATTCTATGTTCCACACCTTCTTAAGCATCTCCTGGAGGGCTAGTTTGGAGGCAACATATTCTCTTAGGGACTGGATGTCTGGGAATTATTTTAGTTCTCCATCACTGATGAAGCTTAGCTTGGTTGGGCAGGAAACTCTTGGCTGGAATTTCTTCTCTTTAAGAATGTTAAAATCTTCCAAGTCGCTGTCTGCTCCAGGTTGCACAGTGAGGGTGGGGCAGAGATAGCCCCTCGGCCTCTCTTGCTGGGTTGTCTGAGGACCCCTCTGGCTCCCCACCCAGTTATGAATTGGGCGATGGGGAGGAGGCTGAGCACAAGGATAAAAATAAGGACAAGGAGAAGCAGCACAAGAATGAGGATGAGAATGAGAAGCCTCCTAAATTCACGCTGACCACCCCAGAGCAGCTGGATAGCCAAGAGACCATGGTGAGCCAGACCCGTTGCCTTTTCTGAGGTCCCCTGGACACCCTTAACCTCTTGGTGTTTCTGCCCTCTGATTCCTCACAATCCCCAATCCCTTCCCAGAGCCGTGGTCAGCCACTGCTGCACCTGTGAACAAAAGGTGCCCCCATGCAGGCCCAAGTGGGGGCTCCTCTCCATCTCCCTGCCAACTTTTCATCCTGTGCATTCCTCCCACAAATACTCACCCCTGTTGGCTGCAGGTGGCATCCTTTAATGTGGCTCTAGCCAGTGCTGAGGAGGAGTAGACATGGTTACTGGGACAGCTGAAGGAACGGAGAGTGTGCTGCCAGCACTTCGTCACACTGGCAGACCCGACCTGGAAGGTAGTGGGAGAGGTGACACCAGCCCCTGGGACCAGGGGTGAGCCTGTGATGTGGTGGAGCACCAGGCCCTCCAGGGGGCCATGTAGAATCTGCAGGTGAGGGAGTGTGTCTTCTGACAGGCCCAAGGAGGATGGGAAGGCAGGCTGCCATGGCCACCTGACTCTGGGTTCTGCCTCCAGAACCCCTTCATGGAAGTCATGGGGGAGAAGGCAGATATGAAGGAGCAGATGGTAGAGCTGGAGCTTGGCTGCATTCAGCTGCCTGGAGAGACTGACACTAAGGGTGAGTTGGGATGTTAGGGCCGTGGTGGGGAGCTGCCCAGAGATGGAGGTGCCAGCTTCTGAGCCCCTTAATCCCCAGGTGAATACATTGCCCTATTCTAGAACTAGAAGGTGGTGCTCACTCCCTCTGCAGATCTCTACGAGGTGGACCTTGCCGACAATGGGGAGCCTGCACAAGGAGAGGTGGGGGAGATCATGCAGCCATGCATGAGATCCAGAACCCTCCAGGAGCGCCCAGGCTTGGGCAACAATCCATGAACCCCATTTTTCTACCAGACTGACAAGAGTGGTGCAGTGAAGATTATGGTCATCTAGAGTTCTAAGAAGTGGGGCTGGCAGCTCTGCCCCCACCTTGTTTCTTCCTCTCTTACCCTCTAGAAGAGTTTAGTCTACTCTATGGTTGCAGGTTAACAATTTGAGCTCTGAGTATTTCTTGCTGTAACTTGCCCATCAGTTTTAAATTGTGCACAAAAATGGGACTTAATATCTAACCAGATGGAATCTCAGAAAACCTGGCCTGTCTTCTTTCAAACATGAAACTGGCTTCTGTGCTGAAGGGAGTCATTCTCCTTGACCATCCTCCCTTTCAGAGGACTGATTCCCACTAAACTGTGGCCTAGAGGTTTGTGTTTGGATCAGTGTGCTACTTGTGGGCAGGACTCCATAGTGCTTCACCACTGAGTTGTGTCCACCCTCTTATCTGTCATAGTTCTCTCTTTAGAGATCTATTACTTCCAAGAGGGCTCAAAATCAGCTCTCATACATGTTTCCTGAATCAGTCTTCTTTAGATTAAATTTGCTGGGGGAATCCCCATAAGACTGCTATATGTAATGGGTCAATCCTCCAGACACT